CTCCTCCTCCTCCTCCACCACCACCTCCTCCACCACTACCTCCTCCTCCTCCTCTTCCCCCTCCCTGACCACCTCCACGTCCATTGCCATTATTATAATTGTTTAATGCAACTTTACTATTTGAAGTCGTGTTACTCCGTTCAGCAACAGAACCATTGGTTCTGTGTGGAATATTAAATGAAGAAATGCCATTGTTTCCATGAGGAGCAAGCACTTTCCCTCGAGCATCACCCTCTTTCATTGCATCAGGTCTCAACCCATCGAGCTGATATGGGCTGAATACAATGGAAAGAAACAAGAGAGCACACAGACGTCTTGCAGTCTCCATCTTCATCTACGTATGCTGACACATTCGAGTCCCTCCCTCTTAACTCTTATAGATCTGGTATTCGAATCTGAATTGAATTGCCAACTAGGCTTTGTCCCCATTAAATCTTCAGAGAGAGAGAGAGAGAGAGATGCCTTAGAAAGCACATTGTCCCCACCTGCAGTTGAGGAGGCCAGGTTTTCCTCCAGTAGCACCAATGCACGCACACAATTGGAGGTATCTTTTGTAGCAGTACTATACAATATACAGTAGATGTCAGGAAATTAACTCTGCACGCGCATACTTATCTCAGCCTCAGCAGCTACTCTAGCTTTCATTGATCCCCGCCAGCCGCGGGACCACGACTCGTCCATGACGCGGTGCTCACATCTGCTGCGGCCAATCTTGAAGCCCCCCAGTCAAAAACAGACACTCCGCCCTTTGCTTAATTAAGCTCAAAACGCCGGAGTATCTGTCTTTTGATTCGACCGCTGCGCTGGCCTTTCCGTGATTCATTGGAGGATGACATGAAAATTCAGATGTATGTTTCTCAGTCGATCGAGTAGACCTACTGCATTAAGCAATTTGCCAACCTGGGCCAAGGGAGCGAATGAGAATGACCGAGTTCTGTGGGGCAATTGGCCAAGGGCTCAACACTCAACAGCTAGTAGAAAAAACAAATTCAAACAATAAAGGAAAAGAAAACAGGGAAAGAGGCATGATAGTGTCTGGCAAAGGATGACAACCCTCAGGCTGCGTCGCTTAGGTTAAAATGATTGGCAATTTTATTTACAACCTTTTTATTTTTTTGATTGATGGGATTGCTCGTTGCATTGTCAAGATTGCACCCATTCCATCACGGATCTTGGTAAAATCACAAAAGGAACGAGAAAGAGAAAAAGAAGAATGAAAGAAAAAGGAGGAAGCTAGCTAGGTTCCTCGCCGAGGCCACAATTTTCTTAAGGTTCCATCAATTCTAGCCGAAAGAGAGCACCCCATCTGTAATTTACATTGTCCTGTTAATTGATGCCATTGAGTTTGCATAAAAATGTTTTCTTTTCAGGTGTAAGAATTTGATTGGGAATTTGGGATAATAAGCTTCCTGTTGACTGTTGTGCATTAATTTACAAAATCTTTCTCTGGTAATATCTTCTTTTATTTCATTTTTTCTAGGATTAATTAATTAACATTTTTATATTATTTATACTTGTATTTTCAATTTTCTCAATTATTAACAGGAACCGCTGAATGATTCCTACAGACTGTCGAAGTAGGCCACTTGTTTTTAAGACCCATTTAGTATTAGACCAGAAGCTGGTTTGGGTACATCCATTATTTCGTTTTTCTTTTTTTAATCCGGAAGGCAAGTTGGAAGAATTATTAATCTGTGGATAAATGAACGTAAGATATCACGATTGCACGACGGAGTCTCAGTGTCTCACTCTCACAGTCTCGCTGAATAACATAGGAAATTAAGAATGAGAAAAGCCACCAACTGAGCTTCAACCATGAAGAAAGGGCTTAGAAAGAGTAGGCCCGCATTTCTAACACATGGGCTGTGGGCTTCAAAGCCCATACAATATGAGCCTGGTTGAAATGAAGAGAGGTTTTCAAATCCCATCATGTAGGAAGCTTAATTTCCTGTACAAACCCACCGATATAGGGATCCAAACGGTCCATCAGATAGGGGACCTACTGGAATAGCCACGTGTTCAACCGCAGAGTCCATTTCATCAATCCATGTACCCTGCCTTATATTGATGTCTTTTACAGTAAATACCAGTTCTTCAAAATGGACTCATTTCAGACATAGCAAAGTTTTTTTGGGACAAAATTTTCTTTGTTATTGGAAGGTGGAGAAAGGAACTTAGACACTCCTATATCCTTTGTATTCCAAACCAAATCTCAAAGTAGAGGATTACATGGTGATGTCAGAGTCTAATGTAAGCTTTGAGTGGCAATTAAAGCATCACATTTGTTTACAGCCTCATGTCTAATGGGTTATGCTTTCTTTATTGCGTGCAAATGAATCTCCTTTAACTGAATATTTTATTGCTGGAACTTTCCTCCTAGGCTTATTTTAATCCGAACTCGATCAGTTGTGGGAATGACTACTGTCTCTTTCCGTTCAGCACTCAGAAGTGGAAAAATCCATATGGGTGTTCCTCTTTTAGGAAGAAAGTGGAACTCACCCTCCTTTTTTTTTTTTTTTTAGCACGTGGGCCTCACTATTAGTCTTGGACTCTCTGGGCTTTATGGCCCAAACCAACCAACAGTATTTTGGAAAACATGGCTAAGGGTTTTGCGTTATGGTACATCATATTCACTTCTCAGCTACCAAAGAATTCTCAAAGGGTTTGATCACTTCCCTCTCTTAACGCTAATGAGATGTTTACAAGAATAGCTGAACCCGGAAATTCGAATCAAAACCCTTTAAACGGAGGACTGGTTCAAATGCAAAATCTACATTAACATTTGGCAAAAGCCCTAGAATTTTATAGGTTGGGCTTGTAATGTTTGTGTCTCAACCTTGGACACAGAAAAGTGGAATTATATGGTTATAAGAGATCATTAATCCACTTATTCTGCTGGGTTACTCAATGTTGGATGGGAATAGACTTTATTTTGAGTGCGGGGTGGGGAAGGGGGGAATGCTGAAGAGTTGAATCAAGGAACAGTTTTAACTCTCCACCATCATCATAATACTTTTTGGGTGGGCAACAGATGGATTGGTTGGTTATATAACATATGATGAGAATAGTTTTGGAAATTCTTTGGAAGACCGAAATGAGCCCCACAAAATAATGGTGGTCAGTGGGAGTCTGGGGTTTGTTATTGAGTTTGGAGGAACTAACCAACACAAAGTGGCGTAAAAGGGAGGGATGATCATCCTGATATCACAACTCACTTTATTATAAAATTTTATACATACATACATACATCCATATACATAAAGAGGGAGATTGGCTACGCAAGGATTGCTCATGAATTCTTTCTTCCAAGTAATTTGAAGGAAAGCTTGCATCCTAATCCGTTGGTGGATTGGCTAAATAGTTTAAAGTTTGGGTTAGGCAGAAGTTTCCAACCTGGCTTGGTTTGACATCGAAAAGGTCTCACTCGATCCCCCTCCCCCTTTTTAAAGCATATTTTTCTTGTTGAATCACTCGAGTGTTGTCAATGTGGAGTCCAGGACTGATCCAATTCATTGTATACATCGACTTGTAATGATCAGAGCTTTTGATTTCTTTCCATTTTGGCATTTCGTTGGCCCACCCAGTCGAAATAACTGATTTTCTTTTTTCAAAATTTCAGAAGATTTTAAAAACATTTGCATTTTATTCATGTTTGTTTTAATCCATATTGATGAAGGGTAATTTGGCACGACCTAGTAAGTAAATGTCATGTGGACGTGATCTGTCCAAAGGATGACAACTCAACAAGAAGAGCCTAGTCAACAGTTTTCAGAGTTCGGGTGTTTAGTCACCTCGGTACAAAACCTCCTCGTCACATAAGCCAGTTTGGGGCCCAAGAACCGAAGTAACACGTAATCGACTCCAGAAGCTTTCCAGCGGACTCTAAACCTCATGGGATCACGCCGCATAATGACAGTTCTTATCCTTTCTCCGCCCGGATTAGGTGGTAACGATAGACTTCATTGACTGATACGTTACTCTTCGATTAAAGCGGAAATGGATCTCATCTACTCAGGTCGAAGATCCTAAAACAGTATTTTTGTGAGACCCATGACAGCTCAACTATATAAGAGCAACAACCCCTCTAGGGCCCATATACGCGCGATTACATACATACAAGCTCTGTAGCACTTAAACTTTACCTTGCAACCACAACAAGACTACTAACTTAAACATCGAAATGACCTCACTAGGTCATCCACGCTAGTCTCTCTGATCCATATTTTGCAGTTTGATCAAGGTCGCCACGTGAACATGTCTAAGCAACCTTCCAACTAAAAGCTTCCGGATTGTGCATCATTACATATTAACTAGGTTTCTTCTACATCCGCTCTTATTATATAACTTCTATGTATATTTTCTTTATTTTTTTATATTCCCTTCAAAACAAAATGCTACAAAGAAAAAATTTTGAATATTTATTTATTTTTAAATCTTCAACCATCAAATTTAAAAATTTCATCCAATAAACACGTGGTAAGTTAAAAAGAGCTTAATGGTATAGATTAAGGAAGGTCAGGGTGTTTTATCTCCACTCACTCCATTACTCACATTGCTGAATTTGCCGATGGGTCCAGTTTTTTTGGAATAGTTTGTTGACTTAGGCCGGGAAGTGGCCCACTGGGTCAGTGCATTGTATAATTATTTCGACTCAATCCAAGCAGCCAAGCCCAGAAACAACAGTACTATAGTGGTTCTGCCAAAATCCAGCAAATTCTAACGACGAATCATGGGCTTATCCTAACTTTTTAAGTTCACAAACTGACACATCAGCAGAATCAGGCAGTTGATTCTGTCTTGAGAACCAAAATCATATATGTTGGTGAGCACCCCTTCACTTAACTAACCCTGAAACATTGGCTCAGTGGGAGGACATGCATCCAATCAAATATATTTTACATTCAAGCCCCGTTCGTTTTTCGGCAAGTTTTTGATCCGCGTAAATGTATTTATTCGCGTAAATGTCCCTTTTATCTGGATAATGTATTTATTCATATTTTTTTATTTTTTATTTTTTAAGTAAATAAGATAATGATCGTTTTATCCATAAAAATTTATTATTAAAAGGGACATTTTTCTCTTATTCAAGTGTTGACAATTTTTTCTCAGATGAGAAAGTTATTTACTTATTTGAAAGAAAAATAAACTTTTCCTGATCCCCACAATCTCATTGACCAACTTTCCTTATTCTCAAAATCTAAAAAAATAACATCCCCTTAAATTTAAGGGTTTAAAGATTTAAAGGTTAGGGTTTTAGATAGCAAAACCAAGAGACGGTTGAATGCTTTCGTTAACCTATGGTAGAAGTGAATTAAAGCCCAAAATAAGAGTTGGCCACCCATATGCACTTTTGCAATAGGGCTTGAATGGATCTCCTCCATGCTCTTATCGACTTGTTTATCCATATTTAGGTAGAACATTACTATATTAACCAATTCTCGCAAAACTAGAGATCTATGGCAGTTCATTTCTCATTTATACTTGAAATCTGCAATAAGCTCAAGCCCGGTAACCCATGGTTGGATGAAAGTGTCTGACCACTTCTTGATTTTCGCATTTAAAATTTAAACCCTAAACTCCAAACTCTTAATTTCCTCCTTACAGAATTGATCCTCACATCTACTTCACACACCACCGCACATTGGTAATGTATTTTTAATTCATGAGGAAATATTCTCAATGCATGGCTATATGTGTTGTCAAGTGGCTGTGAGAACCAATTCTGTGAGAAGGAAATCCAGATTCTCCTGTTCGATATGAAAATCTTTGCAAATTATTTATTCTAAGAAATTTATTCATTTATTCCTTTCATAGATCAAGATCTTTTATTAAGGGCCACTGGTACTGCTTTCTATTGCAGAAGAAGAATTATATTTGATGTTAGAAATATCTGCAATGTTTATATTCTAGAATTTCTAGTTATTTTGGGCAAT